CCCTGGGCTGCGGCTGGGCCCGGCGCGCCCACGTGGCCCCGCGCTCCGAGCCCCTGCACGGGCACTGGCACTGCCAGGCCCCTTCCCGCCTGCGCTGCGGCCGAAGCGGCAGCACGCGTGTGCCACGTGTCGTGACATGGGGGCACCTGGCTCTGTCCCGTGTAGCCAGCGCCTCCTTCCCTCCCCTTCCCCTCCTGAGATGGGCCCCCGGTTCACCCTGCCCAGCGTCCCACATCCAAATGGGACAGCAGCCCCTTCGCAGAAATTTAAGTCTTCTCCTGTCCTGCCTGGACGGCATGTGCCATGCACTAATGACAGGACCGGAGAGAAGGATCCCTGGACGTGCGCCGCCAGAGATTGCTGCGGTCTCTTAGGGATCGTAGAAATCACAAGGAAGGAGGGCTCAAATATGATGCTGGTCTGACTCTGAGTGGAGGGGCGAGACCGACTAGCTAGAAACCTCCAGCTTCAAGTCCCAGCAGGAGCGTTGGCACGGCCCAGTCGAAACCTCAGCCGTCGCTGCCTCATGTCTCCAAAAACCACCAAAAAAATCTCCCTCCCGACAGTGCCACCGCAGAATAGCCGTGCTGCAGGGAGATGAGCCCTGACTGCTGGCACCGCGCGGCACCTTTTAGTCCTGACATCTCCACGCACGGCTCTGCCTGCAGGTGGGGGCTGTCGCTGGCAGGGGATGGGTTTTGGTTAAAAGCCGAACGTGTTCTCTCAACATTAATTACCGGTGATGACACCGTGCGAGTCCGCAGCGCCTGCTGCCCGAGATCTCCAAGCGTATTACACACGCTCGTTAATTAAGCCTCGCTGTACCCCTGGGAGGGTGGCAGCATTAGTACAGTTTCCCGTAGTTACGGAGGAGGAAACGAAGGTGCAGAGAGCACGAGTGACTGGCCTCGGGTCACAGAGTGTGTTGGCAGCGGGGTCAGGATCGGTGCCTTGGCATAGGCAAGTGGCCCCTTGGCATTAGTGTCAACCACGTACACGCAGCGCAGTGAGAGGAGACCGTGGACCGCTAGACACGGAGTCAGGAGACCTTGCTTCTGCTCCTGGCTCTGAGGCCGATTGCCTGGGGGAGTGTGAAAGTCACTTCCACGTCCCTGTGCCTCAGTTTCCCACTCTGTCCCAGGGAGCTAATGATGCTCCCATTTGCTAAGGGCCATGCGAGCTCATTTGCAGTCCTGAGATGATAGAGGCTGCTCAACCCATCAGAACTAGGTGAGGCCTTTCAACAAACCAAAAAGCCCCATGGTTTCCAGATGTCCAGGTATCTGTGAGGGCCAAGAAGACTTGTCCGGCCTCGCCGGACCTCTCCTTTGATGGGGAGCTTGTCTGCGGCATAGTGAACTCCTTGGTGTCTGGTGAGCCCTGCTGTGCTTTGCAGGAGCACTCTTTGCATTGTCTCCTTCGTTTTGAGTTAGGACCTTGCTGGTTCTGCACTAGGCTGACACATAGCAGAGTGACTGCGCCCAAGATGCTGGCATAGAGCAACCCAGGACGGGTGAAGCAAGGTGGGAGCTGGAGTGCCCAGAGGAAAGCAGACTTTGGGGGAATAAGCCTGACCGAACCAGGGTGCTGAGATTCCAGGCAGCCGGACTGAGAGGTCCCCCCCATGCGCTTAATTTCTAGGGTACACTGGGCCTGTAACCTTGGAGCACAGCTGAGAGACCCAGGGCCACAGAAAACCAGCCAGTCACTCTCCAGATCCACAGGCCTTTGAAGCATGTAGGCGCTTCTGATGATGTCCGTTCTCAACAGCCTGGTGCCTGATTGCAGCTGACTCCCCACCATTATTCAGGAGCCTGTCACCTCCACAGGGGATTGCTCCAATGCATTGGCCCAGGGTGGATTTAGGCTGCTCCTAGTACTGAATGGGGCTGCCTGCTTTCTTGGCAATGCTGCACACGCAGAATAAGTGGCTGTACAAGCTGTTGGTGTCCGTCTAAAAAGCCCAATACAATTCACATGCATCACTACCTGTCTTTGTGCTCTAACCCAACAGGGGAGATTAGCTGGCATGCCAAAGCAGCCAGATGCATGTACATTTAGGGGCTAGGGAATATAGCATGGGGACTTCCACTAGAAAACCCACTTTGCTCCCCAGTCTCAGAGATGTAGTTTGCCCATCTTCCAGGCATGGTGCAAGGTCTGCGCCTCCCTGCAGACTTTCCTTGTTCACGCCGGTCTCTTCATCGAGTGAAAGCAACAAGGAGGGAAGAATGCCTCCTCCTAAACCAGTGGTTCTCCATCCTGCTGGAGCCTGGTTTTTTCCTCGGAGAGCTCCCATTTGAGTACTGCCAGGCTGAAGCCTGCTTAGCATGGGAAATCTGGGAAGATCACAAGCCCAGGTGGTACAACTGCACCCCTGTCCCAAACAGTGCCTCAGACAGCGACACATCACTTAACTTCCTCCTCTGCTTGCTCCAGGAGCTCCTCTAGCTGGTTTGTAGCTATTTAAATGTGGTTGCAGGGGCAGGGAGCGTAAGAAACCTATGGCATTTCTGAGCTAAGGGACACTGAAAGGAAGCAGGGATGTAACGAGCATCCCTAGCCAACTGCGGTCCCTCTAAAAGACTATTTCCATGCTTCTGTAGGCTAATAGGAGGCACAGGAGAAAGTGCAATGCAAAGGGAGGGGGAGCTGTGCTGATACTGGTGTCCCGGCATTTCACATAGAAACCAAGCGAGGGTTCAAAAACCCTGTAATCATAACTCTGCCAGGTCAGGGCAGTTTAGGGCCTGATCCAGCACTCCCCACCTGTATACAAGGGTGTCAAGCCCTCCTTAATGGCTATTATTGGAGATAGGCATCTGCTGAAGAGTCAGACACCTTTTGATTTATACAGGCTTGGCACAAGAGCGTGTTCTCACCGGTTGCATGGAGACCTCGAACAAAGAGGATCGAGGAGAGGAGGATGCCCTGGGAATTCATCTCTCCATCTCCAACACACCTAAAGAGAAGAGGCTGTGAGATCAAGTCAGAGGCTTGGCCTGTGTAATGGCAGGGTTAAAGGAGCCGGGATGATCCATGCCACATACTTTTAACTAGAGGCACAGAAGGCCATGTCAACAGCTGCTTGATCTTGCCCGCTGGGGACTCTTGCCCTCAGTAAATGTACTCTGTGCGCATACCTGGTCCCCTGCCTGCCTGCACGCATGCCCATCTGTCAGGATGGCTCTACGCCGGCTTGCATTTTGGTTGCTCCATTTCACTTGGGCAGAGGTGCCAAGACATCCTGGGCTGTAGATAAGCAGCCTGTAGAAAACACAGCAGATGCTATCTTTCTTGCCATGCCCCTGCTACTACCTGTCCCGTGGAAAACTTTGGATGCTTATGTGCCAACCACTGATAGCTGCGGACAGGTGAGGGATGTGCAGTTCCTAGGCTCATGTGGCTCTTAACTAGACCAAATGTTATTGCAGGAGGGGCTGGGATATTGTAAGCTATCTAGCAGGATAATACAGCTGCCTACTGGAGGACTAGTCCAGAGGCAGTGATGGTAGCTGGGGGGCAGACTGGGGCTCATTCCACGAGTTGTATCCTCACCTAAGCAGCAGACAGCTGGGTGATGGACCATTCCCCTTCCTAATTAAAGTGCCTCACTTATGCATGCTGCCAGCCCCTGGAATGCTGTTGAAAACTAAACCAATGCTATAAAACAAGGCCAGCCACAAACAGACCCCAAAATCCAGCCCTTCAGCTTGGCAGAATCAGAGAGCTCAAGAAATGAGGACACTAAATGAATCCAAGAGGAACTGCCTCTGTTAGAAAGGCCTTTGGCTGGGCCTTGCCAGCACAGACAAAGCCCCGCAGTGACATGTTTCATCTCCTGCTAAAATGTGTCTGTGACCCAGGCACTGCTGATTTCAAATCCTGTCTTTGATAACTGCTTGCTGGGTGCTGCTCAGCCCCTAATTCTCAGAGGTGATGAAAGCCCCCAGCTCCCACTGAACTCAAATGCCCGGTGCCTTTGCAAATCAGACCTTTTATGTCCCTGAGTGATACTTGCTGACCTCATGACTTAGTGAGTAAGGATGTGAAAGGCTACACAGTCACATGCTTAGTGCTCCTATTGTTATCCAAAAGCAGGGTAACAATATCTGCTCCCAGCTAGAGTGGAATTGAACTGGCCTATTCTCTACTGCTCTGGAGGCACTTTGCAGGTGCAAGAGTCACAGGGTACATCTACACGAGATACTTTACTGCATATTAGACTAATGTAATGCACAATAAATCATCGCTGTTTACACATGCACAGCAATTACTGCACAGTAGATTAGTTTAATGCATCATTTTCTAGTACCTGTAGATACAGGTACTAGAAATCGGTGCATTACATTAATGCACCAAAGTGCATGTGTAGATGCTGATTGGGAGCAAATTGCTCCTGGTTAGCCTAGGCACCAGGAGGCCACAGGGGGCAGGGAGAGCTGTCCTGACTTGGTGGGATGCTGCCTCCCAACCACATGGAGATTGAGACTCATCCCCATCTCTTTAGGATGGGGAGAGCTGTCCCGGCTGCCAGGCAGCTGCCTCCCAGCCACGTGGAGATTGGGACCCATCCCGATCTCCATGTGGCTGGGAGGCAGACCACCCCTCCACCTCTCCGCTGCCAACCCAGGTTGCTGCAGGGGGGCAGAGCAGGGCAGGAGCAGCTCCAGATTGAACTGTTCCTATCTGGAGCAAATTTTACAAAATTCAAATGCATTAATTGCACATGTAGACACACCCACTGGGATCCAGAGGAAAGGAAGACCACG